ATACATACATATCAGCCTCTTGCAGCCCATGTACAGCAGAGCTCATTCTAGGGGAGGTAGAAGGGCCAATCAGGTCTGCTGCCATGCAAGGAGCGTGCTGATAGGATGCTCCTGCCCTGTATCTTCACTTCCTGTCCTGTAGACACAACAGGAAGTGTTGTGTCTACCGGACAGCTGTCACCTGAACATATGTCCCCAGTGGAAGGTTTCCCCTCTTTTCCTGTTCTGGTGACAACTCACCAACTCAAGTCATGAACAGGCCAGCTGCGGTTTTGATCCTCATAGCTGAACCCTAGGCAGATATATAGGACGCACATTAATGCAGCTCTGTAATCAGTGATGTACAGTATCATTAAATGACCTGTACAGCAGTGCTCAGATAAGGGGAAGGAAGGACTACGCCAGTCACAGTATAACAGTGCTCATTGCCTAACAAACGTCATTCTGACTGAAGGAGAGAGCAGAGTAGAGAGATGAGCTCATCAGTCTGCTGCTTCTCCCTTCACTATCCAATCACAGGCTGTGGGAAGGGACAAGACCTGTAAGTGTTTGTGAACTGCAGCAGAGCACAATCAGGTCTCTTGCCCTAACAGACAAAGCTGTGAGGGGGGGCTGTGTAAATCTCAGGACTGGATGAGCAAAAAATCTAATCTTTTGGTGGTAAAGCATCTCATTCATATCTGTCTGCTCCCTGCCGACTCCCCGTCCGCTCCCCGTCCACTCCCTGCCGACTCCCCGTCCGCTCCCTGCTCCCCGTCCGCTCCCTGCTCCCCGTCCGCTCCCTGCTCCCCGTCCGCTCTACCGGTTTGCTTGGAGTAGAGATTTAAAGAGAACCTGTCACACAAACAAGCTTTACCTGTGGTGGACAGCACGGTGCTGGCGAAGAACAGCGACGACATGAAGTCCCAGTTCCAGTTCCCGGACGCGTTGTTGAGGATGGACACCCCGTAGTTGCTGGCCTCCAGTACCCGCTCCAGGAAGCCCTCCAGCTGCTCCTCGGACAGGCACTGGTTCTCCCCGAGGAAACTCCGCTTCAGCTCCTGCAGGTCCTTCCTCAGGAGGTCTTCATAGGGCAGCTCCACCGAGGAGAAGATCACGGCTCCGAACACCAGGTAGAGGAGGTAGCTGGCCGTGAGGAAGGCGAAGTACCACGCCGGGCGGTTCCTGTCTATCACCCGCACACAGCGGTTGCTCGCCAACGAATGCAGCATCGTCCTGTGTGGGGGGGGGAATAAAGAAATACGAAAAAACACCCAAAAGTCAACCGGATCCCCCAAAACGCAACTGCGGAGAAGGTAGCAAGACGGCAGCCATGTTGAGAGGATGGATGGATGGAGGTGGGCCGGCTATTCTTTATCCTCCGGCCGCAGCAGTAGCAGGGATGGGGACAGCTGATGTGGCACGGTTCTTCAGCCTCCCTCTGACGTCACTTTTTCCCCCACCGTCTCAGGTAACAAAAGGGACCCTGGCTCAGTTTAGCGAGCCGGAATTGGCAGCCAGGAAGCCGGCCGTACCCGCCGCGCTCTTCTCTGCCCTCGGAATACGCCTGGTACGGCTTATTAGAACAGGCAGAGAGCGAGAACCGATGCAGAGCCCGGAGAGGAAATGATAGAAGCAGAAGAGATGAATTACCTCGCTCAAGGGCCGCCCCCTCCGCTGACGGAGCCAGTTCTACTGGTTCAGCCATGTGCTGGGCGACGGCTACACCTTTCACAAACGGGGCCACGCATTCGTCATCGTCCTCTCTTAAAGGGACCCGTCCGGGGGAGGAAATGATGTGAGCATTTAAAGGAGCAGTACACCTAAACAAAGAAAGCGAGAGAGGAAACAAAAATGACTTTGTAATAGCAACCGGAGACCTTGCATTTGAAAGATTGCGAAAAGGAGATTCCGCACTCAACGTGTAAAACAGCGAATGTGGAGGGCGATTGATTCACCGACAGAGAATGCTTGGTGATAGTCACATTCACATCTTTATAAATAGACCCCTTAAAGTGCATGTATGGTCCAAACCTTTTTTTTTTTACGTGGTAGGTTGAGATTTTTTTGTTTTGATCCATCCTCTCATCTAATCCTGAGCCGCTCATTATGGACACCGTCATGCTACCTTCTCTGGAGTTTTGGGGGATCCGGTTGACTTTTGAGTGTTTTTATTTTTTTTTGTGATCGGGAATCCAGTTGTCACCAAAACAGGAAATGTTTGTGGTGGCGCTGCACCCACAGTGATACCCGTCAGTGAATTCATTGGAGATGCAGACTATTGTTTCCTGCTTCTTTTTGTTATGTTCTTATTGTGTGCGCTGACTATTATTATTCCTTCGTAGTCATTTACATATCTTTTCTTAAGGCCCCGCACTTATTTAAAGGTGGAATTAAAACCCTTCACACAGATCACAGCCTCATTCACCCAACTGTTTAGGAAACAGTATATATCATTATCTTTAATGTATATATATATCTATATATCTAGATATAGCTATATCTATCTATATATCGATATATCTATATCTATATATAGATATAGATATATCTATATCTATATCTATATCTATAGATATAGATATAGATAGAGAGAGAGAGAATCCAAGAACAGCCACGACAAGGGCGTGGCTTTCCTCCCACACTCCAAAGACATGTTGGTAGGTTAATTAGCTCCTGTCTAAATTGGCCCTGTATGTATGTTTGTGCAACAGGGACCTTAGATTGGAAGCTCCTTGAGATCAGGAACTGATGTGATGTTATTGTATGTATATATTATATCTAACATATAATAATACTATACACACACACACACACACACAAACACACACACGGTACTATCAGGAAGTATACCTTGTTTGATGCACCATGTCAATCCCACCTCCCCACCCCAATACTGAAGACATCTTGGAAGGTTCTGCCCATACAGAACCTTCCACCCTCGACCCACGTCACCCGTAGATCTCACGTCACTAGTCACAGGGAGGCATGAGCGCTAAATACGCATGTACACGTGACATAATCAGAAGTGAATACGCAGCAGAGGTTTCCTATATACAATATGATTGCTGATGGAGGGAAGTAGAACATTCGGCTTTGCTTCCCCTCTAAGGTATTATTATACATTGAATAGTAACATAGTATCTGTATCGCAGTGTTACTACATAGATCAGGATGACGTCACCCCCTGTAGCTCTGTCCTCCAGGTTCAGGTGAATGTTCCATTTTCTTGCATAGAGATACCTGATAGGAAGTCAGCTGTGCTTGGGGGGAAAAAAACAAAACTTCCCCCCACTAGAACAGCAAGCCTGATACATTCATGATCAGTTTATATCACCTGTTACAAAGTTATTTATAACACTTAAAGTAATAAAGTCGAATTGCAGGCTTTTTTTGGTTTTGAATGCAATGCGGAACCAGCGACTTATTTTGTTTGTTTCCTATCACTTCCTGCCCCGGTGACCACACAGGAAGCAAAGGAGAAAATTCCCACATGGGGGACACAGCATCGAAAACCTGACATGGGTTCTATCCTTTCTCTGCTCCATTCAGAACTAATAATGAAAAAAAGGTTTGGCTGTGAAATTCGCAGAGATCGAGAGATTGCAGGATCGCGAAGTGCGTTGGCTATTTCTATACAGTCCCCTCAACCCTACATTGAATGAAGATGTGAATGACGCTTCCATCCACAATCACTACAAACCAAGAAGACAGTGGAGATCCTCCGGGATGAAGAAGATCCTGTTCGGTAGTCGGATCACCTATATGGACTCTCTCGCATCATACCTGGCCGGCCACTACAATAGGATACACCTTGCAGGTCCGGGGCTTGCCTCCCACTGCTTTCCAATACAAAGGAAGTCCTGAGACTCGGCAATCCGGATTGGCAACTCTGAATGGAGCTTTCTATTAAAGCAAAGTGAGAATCTCTCCTCTGGAGGCAGCCATATCCTCCTTAAAGGCACAGGCACACGCCAGAAGACCAGGCATCACCTTTACAAGGCAGCTACATGGAAACAAATCCAATTTAGCTTCTCAGGTATGAGTTGCAAAGACACACGGACGCCACGCTGCCGCGCCAAGATACGTACCCTAATTTTACACTAGGGGACATATAGAGCAATGTACAGAGAACGGATTCACCAGGAGGCAGCCATTTCCGTCTTAAAGGTACAGACACACACCAGAAGCCATGACACGTATTAGCAAATGTGCCCAACTAAACCTCTGTTTTTAATCTCAGTAGTTAGAACTGATTGTTTCCAGGTTTTCTGGCTGGCTTTATGTTAGGGCCCCTCATTGTCCTGTAGATGAATTTGTCTCAGCGGTGTCAGCGCAGTGTCTCAGAGGTTAATAGCAGCAGGGCGTGTTTGGATTGTGTGTGTGTGACTCAGGGATGGTGTCAGTGTCTCCATGTCTCACAGCCGGACCAGAAGGATGGATGGAGGGGACAGAAGCTGTGTCTAAAGCCAACAGTTTTTTGGGGGGACATAGCAGGAAATAAATAAAACCCGTGTCAGGTTTCTCTCTCATGTATAGTGTTGTCACCTTTTTCTTTCAGCAAAACCTGAACACTCTAGCGACATATGGAAAATCTTGGAGAATGAGTGGTGTTACGGTTTCCCGGGGCAGAACAAAATTATGTGCCCCCCCAATCTACCCCAACAAGTGGCCGCATAATTTGCTTGCTTAATTGTGTTTGGCCACTATTTGCAGGCCGTCTTTAATATTAATTGGTACCTCTGCAAGATTTTGCTGATTGGCCCCTACAACCCTACCCCACCGCTTCCCAACCCAGGCCCGCGCATCCACCTACATCACCTTCCCCCTTACGCAATGGACTCGGGGCTCTGCAACACAATGGACATGGGAGTCTGCAAAGCAATGGGATGCGGGGCTCTGCAATGCAATGGACGCGGGGCTCTGCAAAGCAATGGACTCGGGGCTCTGCAATGCAATGGACGGGGAATCTGCAATGCAATGGACTCGGGGCTCTGCAAAGCAATGGACTCGGGGCTCTGCAAAGCAATGGACTCGGGGCTCTGCAAAGCAATGGACTCGGGGCTCTGCAAAGCAATGGAGCAATGGACGGGGAATCTGCAATGGACTCGGGGCTCTGCATAGCAATGGACTCGGGGCTCTGCATAGCAATGGACGCGGGAATAGAATCAGGACTCAGGACTATTTAACTATTAAATTAACTATTTCATATGATTATTTAGTTAATTATTATTTAATACATATTAGTTATTTCATCAATTATTAAATATTATTAAATTATTTCATTAAATGTAACATTTTCTGCTGTCCTGTTCCAGGCATCTTTTTTCAGTGCACATTTCTACACCAATGTAAGGGGTCACTTCTACACTGACCTCCAATGTAAGGGGCCACTTCTACACTGACTGCCAATGTAAGGGGTCTCTTCTACACTGACCACCAATGTAAGAGGTCACTTCTACACTGCCCACCAATGTAAGGGGGCACTTCTACACTGACTGCCAATGTAAGGGGTCTCTTCTACACTGACCACCAATGTAAGAGGTCACTTCTACACTGCCCACCAATGTAAGGGGGCACTTCTACACTGACTGCCAATGTAAGGGGTCTCTTCTACACTGACCACCAATGTAAGAGGTCACTTCTACACTGCCCACCAATGTAAGGGGGCACTTCTACACTGACTGCCAATGTAAGGGGTCTCTTCTACACTGACCACCAATGTAAGAGGTCACTTCTACACTGCCCACCAATGTAAGGGGGCACTTCTACACTGACTGCCAATGTAAGGGGTCTCTTCTACACTGACCACCAATGTAAGAGGTCACTTCTACACTGCCCACCAATGTAAGGGGGCACTTCTACACTGACTGCCAATGTAAGGGGTCTCTTCTACACTGACCACCAATGTAAGAGGTCACTTCTACACTGCCCACCAATGTAAGGGGGCACTTCTACACTGACTGCCAATGTAAGGGGTCTCTTCTACACTGACCACCAATGTAAGAGGTCACTTCTACACTGCCCACCAATGTAAGGGGGCACTTCTACACTGACTGCCAATGTAAGGGGTCTCTTCTACACTGACCACCAATGTAAGAGGTCACTTCTACACTGCCCACCAATGTAAGGGGGCACTTCTACACTGACTGCCAATGTAAGGGGTCTCTTCTACACTGACCACCAATGTAAGAGGTCACTTCTACACTGCCCACCAATGTAAGGGGGCACTTCTACACTGACTGCCAATGTAAGGGGTCTCTTCTACACTGACCACCAATGTAAGAGGTCACTTCTACACTGCCCACCAATGTAAGGGGGCACTTCTACACTGACTGCCAATGTAAGGGGTCTCTTCTACACTGACCACCAATGTAAGAGGTCACTTCTACACTGCCCACCAATGTAAGGGGGCACTTCTACACTGACTGCCAATGTAAGGGGTCTCTTCTACACTGACCACCAATGTAAGAGGTCACTTCTACACTGCCCACCAATGTAAGGGGGCACTTCTACACTGACTGCCAATGTAAGGGGTCTCTTCTACACTGACCACCAATGTAAGAGGTCACTTCTACACTGCCCACCAATGTAAGGGGGCACTTCTACACTGACTGCCAATGTAAGGGGTCTCTTCTACACTGACCACCAATGTAAGAGGTCACTTCTACACTGACCGCCAATGTAAGGGGTCACTTCTACACTGACTGCCAATGTAGGCAGGCTGGCAGGCTGCAGGTGTTACTAGGGTGCACAAACAAATTAGT